AGCCACATCCCCAGCCCTATTTTGTATTTTATTTAGAGACAGGGTCTCACTGAGTTGCTTAGTGCCTCACTATTGCTGAGGCTGGCTTTGAACTCACCATCCTCCTGCCTCAGCCTCCCAAGCCACGGGGATTACGGTTGTGTGCCACTAGGCCTGGCTCCTGTTTTTATTTTTGATTTGCTTTTGAGATGATGGGGGTCTTGCTGTGTTGCCCAGCTTAGGCTCAAATGCCGTGGCTTAATTAATCCTCTTGCTTCAGCCTACCAAGTAGCTGCTAAAAGGACATATTGCACTTGGTTTATGCTCCCTGTTTTAATTATAACAGGATTTGACTATTAGAACCAACTCATGATTGTTAATAGAGCAGCATAGATATAAAACTAATCTGCAGTAAGCTTTTGAAATGATACAAACTCATCCCCAATTTTGTTTTAATTTCTTCTTAATAAAATAATTTGCATTATTTTAAGATAAGTCGATTACCTTCTATTAGAACACTGCTTGCCACATGGTAAGCATGATTATGTGAGTGTATTGTGTATAGTTCTGTTGGAACAACACAGTTTATTCCTATCCTTAGCCCTCTGATGACACCCAGCATTCTATTTGAATCATGAGATGCCTAATTCCCTTTACCTTAGAGAACAATCGAAATGTAGAGTGTATTTTGTAATTATAGTAGTTTTTGAAGCATTGTGATAAGTTGTTGTGAGATTAATTTAGTGGGTTGTTAGCAGTATTCTTTTTTTTTTTTTTTAATGACATGGAGCCAGGTACAGTGGCTCACACCTGAAATCCCAGCAACTTGAAAGGCTGAGGAAAGACGATCGAAAGTTCAGTGAAAGTCTCTCAAAATTAAAAGTAAAAGTGACTGGGGATGTAATTCAGTGGTAAAAAGCCTCTGGGTTCAGTCCCCGGTTTAAAAAAAAAAAAGTGGGGGTGAATATCAATGAATCCTTTATAGAGCGGGTAAATGATTTTTGAAACCTTTGTTTTCAGTTTGTATGCATGTGTCTATTTATCTTTCTGTCCTCCACCATTAATCATACTGTATTATGTACAGGATACAATACATTTCTATGCATTGCTGATTACAGCACAAAAACTTCAAGCAATTGACACCTTAGAAGTTGTGTATAAGTGTATATTGAATGATGGAGATTTCTAGGTCAGAATTCAAAAAGAGTATCTGAAAATTGCAGGGTTTCTTTTTTTGTTTTGTTTTGTTTTTTAAATTTTTTTGTACCAAAGATTGAACCGAGGAGTACTTAGGGCCTTGCTAAGTTGGCTGGCTTGAATTTCCTGCCTCAGTTTCCTAAGCCACTGGCATTACAGGTGTACGCCACCACACCTAGCTGAAAATTGCAGTTATTTACCCCTCATTGGTTTATTTCTGATGAGATTTTTCACAGTACATATTGGAATTATTTTATCATCAGAGCACACCTATTAACTTTTGAAAAGGGACAGTTCAGATTTATCACATTGACAGTTTTCATGCAGTTAAAATTAGTTTTTTCAGTATCTTACATGTTAAAATAGTTATGCCTTTTCCTTTTAAGTATTCTTGTATTGCATTTATAATTAAATGAGTTCCCTTTTGCAGATTAAATAGAGATACTGTTGCAGTTTTCTATTTTGATTTCTAATGAAATTCTGGATTAATTACAGGTGTAATTATCGAAAGTGATATAATTGGTTCAGATCTCATTAAAAGCTCTGACTCAGAGACACAGTCCAACATGCCTGATGTGCCGTATGAACCAGATTTGGATATTGAGATAGATTTTCCCAGAGGTACTCAAAATACTTTGATTATTGAATTAACTGATTATAACTGTAGTTGCAATCATTGTTTTTTTAATGTTCATGTCATTGTTCTATTGTTCATAATTATGTTTTCTTTTTTTGATACTAGAATTTCCCTCTACCACTAAGCTATGCTATCCCCAGTCTTTTTTCTTTTCTACCCAAATAAAACTTAACAATTAGCTTTCAAAATAATGCATAGAATTGAGTTGTAGGGATATAAAAGTGATTGCTTTGAGTTTTAGAAAAAAAAATTCTGGAATTATAGAAAGTCTGGAAGATAGAGCAAAGAATAGAGTTATGTGTTTAAAAAGTACAAATAACATTCTACTTAAGACTTTTTGAAAATTCACTTTTAAGGGGAAAATTACTTCAGGTCTTTTGTAAAAGAAATATATTCCATTTTTCAGTATTTATTTTCTAAATGTATGAATGACTAATGAACATATTGAGTAGGGTGTAAAACATTGTTTTGGGGAAGATTTAATAGATTGAAACATTTATACTGTAACTTTTTAGATCTTATAATTGAATTTCAGGTTGTAATAATTTTTCTGATTTTGTACTTATTTTTGAAAATTCCTGTTGATATCCTTTATATATATGGTTTTTTAGGAGTCTGAACAGTGTTTATCACAACTCACAGATCATGTTAGATACAGCAGCTCATCTACTCCCCATCCCAACTCAGCTTATCTCCATGTGTGAATACTTGTTCACCTTCTCAGGTTCTTTGTTGCCTGTGTTTATGTACAGAAACCTGTGGCTTTGCATTTGAAATAAGTTTTTCTGATTTAATTGTCAGCTGCTGAGGAGCTTGATATGGAAAATGAGTTTTTATTACCACCTGTTTTTGGAGAAGAATATGAGGAACAGCCCAGACCTCGATCTAAAAAAAAGGTACAAAATATAATATCATTCTTGCATTTACTTAATATCTGTATAGGCACATAAGATATAGTGATCATTTTGTGTGCTTGAGAATATGAAAAGAGTGTTTTTTAGGTTTAAGACTAATGAATTTATTTCTTAGTAATAGCGGTGTTTGTCAATGTCATATAAGAAGAGCAAATATTATGACTACTTAGATTTTCTTTTAAAATTTATTTTGACATAAGGTCAAAATAGAAACTAGTTGCTTAACAAAGTAAATTCAGTTCTTTGAGAACAATTTAGACTATTTTCTAGTGAACTCCTTTTTTTACTATTACTTTTGGTGAGATTAATTAACAAGGACGAAAGTCAGGTTTTTTTGGTATGTGGTCCCTTTTAAGCATGCCAACACAGAGAAAGACATGCTGGACACTTGATTCTTCATGTAATGTAAACTAATGTACATGGTAACAAGTTTCTGATTTACAACATAAGGCAAGATCAAAGAACACTGTAACAAAGATAGCTTTCACAAATTTCCCACAAAAGAGAAAAAACTGAAAAAGGAGTTGTTTATTTTAGGGTGTAGGTGAACTCTTATATGACCCCATGCACAATAACTAAAAATATAAAACTCTTAGAAGAAAAAAACACAGGTCTAAGTTTTGGTGACTTTGTAGCAGGCATCTATACCAAATGTACAAGAAACAAAAGACAAAAAATTAAATTGAACTGAAGTAAAATGAAGATCTTTGTATTGCAAACTGTCATCAAAAAGTGAAAAGTTGTTGGGCGCAGTGGCTTTGGGAGGCTGAGGCAGAAGGATTTAGAGTTCAAAGCCAACCTCAGAACAGCCAGGCACTTAGCAACTCAATGAGACCCTGTCTCTAATAAAATACAAAATAGGGTTGGGGATGTGGCTCATAGGCAGTGTACCTGAGTATAATCCCCAATATATATTTTTTTTTTTAAAGGAAAAGAAAAGGAGGGAACTGGTAATGTAGCTTAGCTTAGTGACAGAACACTTGCCTAGTATGCATGAGGCTCTGGATTTAATTCCTAATAACAGGAAAAAAGGTGAAAAGAAGTTGAATAGTCCTTCCCTATAAGGGGAAGTTGTTGAAAAGTTCTTCAGTTAATACTTAGAATCATTTGGCCATATGGATATTTTGTTTGATTTTGTTGTACAAAGTGATTTGTTTAGAAATATGACATTCTTAGTTACCTTTCTTGAAATGGAATTCTATCTATTGTCGGATTCAGGAATTTCAGGCAATTCTAAAGGAAATAAATATGTTTTTTTTTTTTTTTAAATTTGCCTTTATGTAAAGTCATGAAATAATGGAGCCTAAGTCCACATTTGCCATGTGTTTTACTTCCTAATAGGGAGCCAAGAGAAAAGCTGTATCAGGATACCAGTCTCATGATGATAGTTCTGATAATTCAGAATGCAGCTTTCCTTTCAAATACACATATGGTGTGAATGCTTGGAAACACTGGGTCAAAACTAGGCAACTTGATGAAGATCTTCTAGTATTAGATGAGCTGAAATCTTGTAAGTGTTTGATTTTATTTTTGCTAAGTCCTATTTGAACTTTTGATTTCATTAAAAAAAAGTAGTTCAAAACAATTCTAAAATGCATTTTTTTAAAGAGTAAATCATTTTCAGGAAGTTTCTTAGCGTTATGTGAGTCTTAATTAATAACAGTTATTGACTTTTATTTCTTTTTAGCCAAATCAGTAAAGTTAAAAGAAGATCTACTGTCTCATACTACAGCTGAGCTTAACTATGGGTTAGCTCATTTTGTCAATGAGATCCGACGACCAAATGGAGAGAATTATGCACCTGACAGCATCTATTATCTCTGCCTTGGAATACAGGAGGTTAGTAATTTGTTGGCTCCTTTCAAATGTAACATTTATAAGGAAAGTTATTGTAGTTTTTGGAGAGAAAATGTGCTTCCAGAATATTGAGAGATGGCTTATGTCAAATCATGAAATAATGGAGCCTAAAGTCCACATTTGCCATGTTAAGGATAGTTTTCTGTTAACTTTTTTATTGGCTTACCAAGAAAGATAAGCATTTAAGTGAGCTACTTGAGAGGCTGAGCCAGTCTTGGTAACTTAAATTTTAAAAAATTTTTTAAAAAGCTAGGGATTTAGTTTAGGGGCATAGCACTTGCCTAGCATGCATGAGACCTTGAGTTTGAGCCCTAGCACAGGAAAGGATGAAAAAGAAATTTTTTATTTGGAAATACCAAGATTTTTTTTTTTAATTTTTTTTTTTATTGGTTGTTCACAACATTACAAAGCTCTTGACATATCATATTTCATACATTAGATTGAAGTGGGTTATGAACTCCCAATTTTACCCCAAATGCAGATTGCAGAATCACGTCGGTTACACATCTACAATTTTACATAATGCCCAATTAGTAATTGTTGTATTCTGCTACCTTTCCTATCCCCTACTATCCCCCCTCCCCTCCCCTCCCATCTTCTCTCTCTACCCCATCTACTGTAATTCATTACTCTCCTTGTTTATTTTCCCATTCCCCTCAAGAGTAAAGGGAAATTGCATGGAAATGAAGGGAGACCCTCATTGCTATACAAAATTACATATAAGAGGTTGTGAGGGGAATACCAAGATATTATAAAGGACTTTTCCATCTACTTTTATGTTTGTATTCTAACACAGTATAACAGTTCTCCAGGACTGTGTACCAAAAAGAATTAATGGAAAAAATAGGGTGTGGATAGGCTTAAACTCATGCATCTTTTACCACTGGTCACAAAGTTGTATATTTGCCACAGTGTATAGGTGATAATTATGATGACTTTATTTCTTTTACAAATAAATGAATTCACATAATTCTGGCTATAGACCCATGCTGATCTATATGTGTACAAAAAAATGTCTTAGGTCTGTGTATAAAAGGTCTGTTTCATGATATGTTCCTGATTACTAATTCTTTGGGAATATATCGTAAAAAGGGGCAATCTTTTAGGTGCTTGAAGTAAACTATCCACGTCTATGAATCTGAGTCTGTTTCCCACAATAAACATAAAGATCAACTTGAAATAATGATCTCCAGCTCTGAACAAATACTACAGGTTTAGCCCAGAGGTCAAAATGGGGGTTTCTCTGCCTACCCCAGTCCTGTGTTTTGTCATCTAGTTGCTCTCTCTTCATGCAGATACTTTTTGTTATTCAAGTTCTGGCATTACTCACATGTTAGAGATACGGTTGATTATTATGTATTCATTTTGTATTCTGTACCATTTTACTATTAGTTCTAGTAGGTAGTTTTCTTTTTCTTTTTCCTTAGAATTTCCTATGTACCCAATGTTTATTCATGTTGTCTATGAATAAACATGGTTTTATTTCCCTTTCTTTCTTTTTTTCTTTCTTTCTTTTTTTTTTTTAATGTGTGTGTGTTGCTGAGGATTGAACCCATGGCCTTGTGTATGTGAGGCAAACACTCTACCAACAGAGTTATAGTCCCATATTAGAAATATTATTTCTAATATGCATTTTCTCTCTCTTTTTTTTGCCTTATTATACTGTTAAAGATAACCTCTTTCCCACCTCCTGTAGAACATTGTTGAAAGGAAGTGGTGAGAGCTGAATCCTTTGTCTTGTTTCTAATCTTGAGAGGGAAGTCTTTGGTCTTTCACCATTAAATATGATGCCATATGTAGATTTTTGCTTGTTTGTTTGTTTTTAATACCAGAGATTGAACCTAGGGGTGCTTAACCACTGAGCCACATACCCAACCCTTTTTTATTTTGAGACAGGGCCTTGCTAAGTTGCTGAGGCTGGTTTTATATTTAAATATAAAATGTGACCATATTTTCATTTCTAGTATTGATAATTTGTGCTTTTTGTTTCTTGAATAGGCCAACTCAGGAATCAGCAATTTTTTAAAAAGTATTTTTGTCTAGTAGATGGACACAATGCCTTTATTTTATTTTTCATGTGGTGCTGAGGATCGAATCCAGTGCCTCACATGTGCCAGGCAAGCACTCTACCAACAGAAGCACAACCCCAGCCCAGTAATTTTCTTTTAAAGGGAAAGATCATAAATAGTTTTGACTTTGTAGACCAACAAGCAAAGTTCTAGGATATTATATAGCTATTTAGACAACTGCTTTAAATAAAATCATTTATAGACATTTATAAAATCTTTTAAAACAAAAACAAAAATAGGTAGTTGCTGGAATTTGGCCCAGTGAAGCCAGAGCTATAGTTTGCAGCTTATCTAGCTACAGTTATACCTGTCTCGTCTTCGTTTTTGAGGGTCTGTTTTTTATTATAATTTCTTAATTTGTGTGAACCTCCCTCCTCCCCACCCGCAGATGGAAACTTAGATCATGGACTTTTAGAACTATTTTCTTTAAAAATATATATATTTATTTTTTTATGTCTTCATTTTATTTATTTTTTTAATGTGGTGCTGAGGATTGAACCTCACAAGTGCTAAGCAAGTGCTGTACAACTGTGCCCCAGCCCTAGAACTTTTTTCTTTTCAAGGAAACATTTAAAGATATAAATGTCTCTCTAATATTAGTTTACCTATATCCCACAAATTTTGTGGGATATATTGTTGTGTTTATATTTTCCTTGACTTAATGATGGGAAGTTGAGTCTCTATATTGCTTTTTATTGAATGGATTATTTTAAATATTAGAGCTCTAATACTATGAGGGCCAAATAAATGGATTGCATAGTGAATGATTATGATATGAATTATATCTTTAGTATCTTTTCCCACTATTTTTGTTTTTACTGTGATAAAAATATGTACAAAATCTGCAATTTTAACCATTTTTAAGTGTACAGGTTAGTGGCTGTGTCATCACTACCATTCTTCACTAGAACTTTCCATCTTGGCAAAACAGAAACTCTGTATGCATTAAGCAAAAACTCCCTTTCTCTGTCAGCCCATGGCAACCACGATTCTACTTTGTGTTTCTATAAGTTTATTTCATAGAAGTATAACCATACACTTGTCCTTTTTGGTTCTGGCTTATTTCATTTAGGATATGTCAGAAACCACCCCCCACCCCCACCCCCAACCTTTTCTCTTAGGTTTTTCATGTACTAATAAATGTTTCTTCAAAAAAGGATTTACTACTGAACTATATTCTTAAAAATGGTTAAGATGGTAAATTTTATGTCTGAATCTATTTAATACAAATTTTAAAAATTGTATAGTAGTCTCATTGGATGCATTTGCAAAGACTGTGTGGTATTTGTAAGCAGTTTAAAAAAATTATTCAAAATTCAGTATAAAGATTTCTAGACTACAGAAATCAGTGCTATCAAATGTTACTTCAAATACATAAACAGAATTAGAAGCTGGTGTTGGAAGATTGTGCATATTTTTCTGTTCTCATATTTTATTGGTTTGGTTCACATCTGACAATAGTAATAAGAAAATGTTGTAAAGGAAATATGATTTTCTTTTCATTAACCTTTTCATTTTGTGAGAGTTTCTTATTTGTTCTAGATAGTAACTCTTGTCATTTTCACAAATATTCCCTCTGGGTTTTGATTTTTTTTTTCACAAATATTCCCTCTGGGTTTTGATTTTTTTTTTTCACAAATATTCCCTCTGGGTTTTGATTTTTTTTTTTTACATGTTAAATCTTTTATCGGTAGGAATGTGTATTTTTAAGAGGAGTGAACTCTGTTTACTAAATTTTTAAAAATATACTAAACTCACTTATGATGCTGTGTAAATGGATAATTTTAAATATTTCTATTAAAAATAAACATAACATTTCTAAATTTAAACTATCTATAGGACCTCAGGATTTTGCTTTATTTTTTAATAGCAATGATGATGTAAATGGTTAATTCCGCAAAAATCAGTAAAGTGCCTGTTTACTGGACATCAGAGTAGGCTTTGGAGATTTAGGTAGCATGTTAAAGGTTTACGTTTTTTGACTATTTACTGCTTTAAAATTGTTAGTTTTCTCCATGAATTATATAATAAACACAGAGTCTTTTTTGGTTGATAAACTAAAGATTTCTTATTTCTTTTTTTTTTTTTTGTATTTGGGATTCTGGAGTGTATAGCTTTGAGTCTTTTAAGCCACAGATTAATTGATAATTTTGTATGTATACACATAAAGCCAGTAATCTGTCATTTTTAATATGCTTGTTTTTCTTTTACACAAAGCTTTTAAAAATTTTTTTTCTTAAGAAATACGACGTGTAATATATTCTGTTTATTTATTTATTTTTTTAAGTACTTGTGTGGTAGTAATCGAAAGGACAACATATTTATTGATCCAGGATACCAGATGTTTGAGCAAGAATTGAACAAAATACTACGAAGTTGGCAACCAAGCATACTTCCAGATGGTAATGTTATTTTAAATATAGGTATCCATAACTTGATACTGGGATTGTTATTTTTACAGAAACTGTGTAATTAGCAAATAAATCAGATGACATTTTTAGAGCATTTACTCATCAGTTTATCTGTTCATTTTTTGTTAAACTAGAAATGAATATGGTTAGTAGTGTTTATGAAGAGCTCTGTAAGAATGTGACCTACTTTATGAAGCTGAATGTTTATGTCAAAAACCCTACAGTGGAGATGTAAATTTTTTTTACCACTGTTATGTGAAGAAAATGTGTATATATGGAAATTACCTTTTATTCCCCAAGCCTTTCACATATTTAAATTATTTTCTGACTATCTGTTTGTCCTACCAAAGGGCAGAAGCATACACCCAGTTCCTTATTTTAGAGCTGATGGTTCCATAGATTGCTATGTTTCTAATTTGTGTGTTGCTAAAGAGTTACATGGATAATTCTGAAATTCATTCCAGTTGATCTGGTGTGAATGGAGACTTGGTATGGTTTGTTTTAAATTACCTTTGTTTATGGATGATTTGTAATGTAAATGTACATGGTTTTATTTATGATACTTCTGTTTAAAGTAGTTCTTTCTATTTAAGGGTCAATATTCTCTCGAGTTGAAGAAGACTATCTCTGGAGGATAAAACAACTAGGATCACACTCTCCAGTAGCTCTTTTGAATACCCTGTTCTACTTTAACACTAAATATTTTGGCCTCAAAACAGTGGAACAACACTTAAGACTTTCCTTTGGCACTGTGTTTAGGCATTGGAAAAAAAATCCTTTAACAATGGAAAACAAAGCATGTCTTCGATACCAAGTATCTTCTTTATGTGGAACAGATAATGAAGGTAGTGTAACCAGATTTTTTATTTTGGGATTACCTCTGGTGGGTTTATTTAAACCTTATTTTACCAAAGCCCACCTGTGTCACTTGTTGAGAACCTAAGGACTGTCATTTCATAAAATAAGACAAATTATGATATCTTATGTCGTCTCAGGTCCATTTGTTTGAAAAATTGTGCATTACCAGAATCTACAACATAGAACGCTAAAGGGCATCTATTCCCATTTAACTAGACGCTAAGAGTGTATAGTACTATATTTCCTTCAAGATTGGCTTTAGGTGGTTTATTTTATTTTTTTAAGATAAAATTACTACTGGAAAAAGAAAACACGAAGATGATGAGCCAGTGTTTGAGCAAATTGAAAACACATCCAATCCTTCTAGATGTCCTGTGAAAATGTTTGAATGCTACTTGTCTAAAAGGTGAGTATTAATAAAGAAGTAGCTTTTTAAAGATGGTAGTGTAAGTTGGTTGAATTTAACATGACCAAGAGGTGATATTTTCCCCTGATCCTTTTTTAGTTTTCTCTTCTGGCTTATACTTAAGTCCATTCAGTTATAACTTTTGAGTCCCATTATTAAGAAATACCCAGCTTATCATCATACTTTAGGATTCAAGCACATATATGTTAAGAAATTACTCTGTACTAAGGAAATTACTGCTGTCCTCTTCAAAAAATTCAAGGAAGCAATGACACAACTTTTTCAGTAAAAGGTCAGATAAAAAATATCTCAAATCTCGTACTTGGTTCTGCTGTTAGAGCTAGAAAGCCAGATGATTATATATCTGACAGAGTACCCTTGCATTCCTGTACCACAAAGAAAAAATAAATGATAAAGGGGTTGGAGATGAAAATGAAGTACTTAATATTTAAGAGAAAGTAGCCCTTTAGGAAGTTCTGAAGGATATGGTAGAGTTTTGAAAGTACTTTTCAGAGACCAGTAGTGTTCTGAAAGTACTATACTTTTCAGAAACCACTGGTTTCAGAAGATAGGCATGAACTCAGAATGTACTTCCTTATAAAAATAACTTTATAATTCATCTCCCAGGATGGTTCTCAAGAACTTATAAAAACATTTACATCATCTATAGAATGATAGAAGTATTTCTGACCATGGTTTAAGTGTAGCTCCATTCAGTTGCAACAGGATCAGGAACTTCCCGTGGTATTGTTGATTAGGTGGAAATTCTTATCTTGTTTATTTTAAATTTTTTTGCTCAATAAGGTTTTTTTTAATGTGTTGCCATATTCATTAATACTAAGACATTTTTCACATTTCACTATCCCTGACTCGGGGTAAATGTTTAAACTGATTCATCTTCAATTTGTATTATTACTATTAAAAAGTGATTAAAATAAATGATGTCTTGAATTCAGTGAAATGCAGTTTATATTATGGTAGGTAAGTAATCTTTTTACCACAGAAAATAACTAAATGTTGTAGTGTCCGAATATTTAATGTAGACAATTGAGGCAGAGCATCTGACCAAATAATGTGATTTCTGGGGTCTAAATTATTCTTGAACAAAAAGTAGTAGCGGTTTTTTTATAAACTTTATGAAATTGACCTTTTCTCTTCTTTTCCCCAAAGTCCACAGAATCTTAATCAGAGAATGGATGTTTTTTATTTGCAACCAGAATGCTCTAGTTCTACAGATAGCCCTGTCTGGTATACATCTACTTCACTGGACCGAAACACCTTGGAAAATATGCTTGTACGGGTTCTTCTAGTAAAAGATATTTATGATAAAGACAATTATGAACTGGATGAAGACACAGACTAAAAAGGAATGTTTCAGAAGCAATCGGGATAAAACAGCATTAGATAGTCATGCTGCTAGATCTTCATTATGGAAAACATTTCAAGTTTACTCCTGTTTTGAGTTTTGTAGCAGTGTACCCACACTGGGTATTACCATGTAAATAATCTGTGAGTGAAAGTTGCCATTATTCTAAGTAGTGGTTTTAGAATACTTAACAAATACATTCAAATCCTTTTTTTTTATTATTATTTATTTGATTAGGTATGTTTGTAACTTTTTACATTACAAAATACGAATGAGAATGTGCCATGTATAATTTTTTTCTTGTAGTAAGAAACATCCATATTGCACAACTCTACTGTTGCAAAGCTTCCTCAACAAGGGGCGCTTTTACTGGGTTCTTTACCAGATGGTTGTGTATGGGTAGCACTACTAAAAGTTTAGAACTTGCAGTGTCTTTCAGAATTTTTAAAATAAACTGTAAACTAATAGGCTGGGTTTTTGTTTTGTTTTGGGGGGTTTTTGTTTGTTTGTTTTTATGTTTTAGTTACTGAAGCCTTACAAGTTATGTAGAGAGATACCATCTTCTGTACCAAAAATAGACAAGAGAATGCTGTCAATATTGGTGTACTGTAATGTGAATCTATACTGGTGAAAACAACTTTTTGTTCCCCTTATTAAAACCTTAGTGTCCTTTTCTCATTTTGTGGCTTTCTGCATCACCCCAATTTTAAAAATATATATGTATGTATATATATGTATATGTATATATGATATATATACACACACATATATACATATATATATACACACACAAAGAATGACTATAAGTTGAAAACAGGTCATTAAGACATTTTTGTTTGTAAAAATGTCTGATGAAAGTATAAGATTCTGTTTTCTTTTTCTATGCCAACCATTAAGATCTGAAATCCCCTTCATTAATAGATTCAAATTTTTTTCTTCCCCTTCCCGTTATGGATATAGATCATGCTGCAATATTTCCTGTGAAGTACTCTATACCTTTACCAATTTTATTAGAATTCTTGTGCCTGCTTCCAAATATGACTGATGCATACATTAAGTAAAATTATTTTTAGAAATGCCACTCCTAAAATAGTTGTTATAGAAAGTCAAGCTACTTTAAATAAGATAGTATTACCTTTTACTATGACGATTACCAGTGTAGTAATTCTGATTATTTCAGATGATTGAAGAGCAAAGAAAAACTGGATAAAGTCTGTTTCAGAGGAAATCACACTTGGTGTTAGATTGTTTGGCTTTTAAAATTTTACTTCTTATAGAAGATTGCATTAAAAAAAAAAAACCTTTGTGCTTCTGCATAGCAATTTATCTGTCCAGATCTTTTATTTTAGAATAAGGAAGCTTACTTAAAATCCTACTTTCTAAAGACTTAAGTAAAGTGCTAGCTGCAAATTATCATAAAGAAATCATTTGGCTGACTTTGTATAGCATGTATGTAATCATGTTAATTTCTTGTCTCTAAATCCTGAATCACCATGGTGACATTAGTTTTTAAAAACTATTTAGGGGGAAATTGGGCTGTTTTCCACAGTGTATAGGCAGTATCTACACATCCCTCAGATATGTCTCTCTTTTAGGATAAATATTAGCACACTAAGGAAATTTTCCCAATCATGAATTGGAAAATTTCACAGGTATAATCACTGTATATTTAAGCAATAATTATCTAAAATGTTTTTGGCATAAAATTACTTTATAATGTTCTAACTTGTTTTATAAGTTTGAATAACTTTCAGTCCCTCAATTTTATATTTGTTGAGTGATAATCAGTAGAAAATCTGATATAAGTTACTTTACTAAAATAGATTGCCAATTGTCTAATGAAAAAAAATGGGTAACGTTTAAAATATATAATACAAAAACTCCTCAATCTTTTTCCAGAACTACTTCTTTAAGCACTTTTCCTATAAATGCATATTGTTGATTAAAAGGTGGTTAATACTAACCATCTTTTATTCTTCAAAGTGGTGCTATATTCCATCAAGAGCAATAAACTTATTCCCAAATGTCATTTCTTGTATATTTTACCAAATTCCATAAATTCCTACCATGGTACTGCTATTAAGCACTGTGTCTTTTGCTATTTACATTTTCTTCATTTGTACATTTTAGCTTTCCTCAGTGGAAATGACTACATAATTTTGATCTTAGCATGATAAAGGATTTAGATCTTGTCTTTGATTGCATTCCAATGATAGATTAACTTGATTCTCAGGGGGAAAAGAAAAAAAAAACTATTTTATGAGAATTGTTTGTTCTGGGAAATTTATTTCACCTAGAACATATTTCATTGATTCCTAGAACTCCCTAGTTTGTGTGGTCATACCTGACTGCTGAGAAAAGGGACAATGAAATGATAGTTTATTTTTGCTTCTTGGTGATTTCTGATTATTGATAACAGCCTGTAAATATAACTTTATTGTCTTGAGATGTCTATTGAAAATACTATATTTTTCTGTTCTTGAAGGAGAATTTTTTTTCCACTTAAAATCATTTCGTGAAAAAGTGATCAGACATATTGAGGGAGGTGGATTCCCATGCAAATTGATTCTTTATTAACAGGTTTTTAAAGACTTTTTTTCTGTAGTAGGTAACATAAGATATTAAAAGTTTTTTTGTTTTGTTCTTTTTTTAAGACATCAAACTCAGCTTTTTTTCCCCCCTGTTAAAAAATACTCTTTAAGTAGTAATTCATGTTTTATTAAATGGAGTTGTTACCAGTGTGTTTAACTTTGAAATAGGAGGATGAATATTGTACCATGCATTCAAATTTATCACTTTTTTTCTGATGGAATTTCCTTTTCCTCCACCAGTTGTGATTTGCAAATGGGGATAACTTATTCATACATAGTATTAGGGACTATAGTAATCAAGGAGTCAGAAATTTTCAAGTTTTGGTTTGCACTACTCTAATGTGGGTCCACTTAATCTGAGATCTTAAATATCTTGCAGTCTTAAATCACTATAAACATTTACATTTTTATTTTCCCAGTTATTTCCAAAATGTATTGTTATATATATGCCAGTTATGTTTAAGCTAATATTGACTATAGGAAAATCTACTTGCTCCCCTCAAAAAAAGTAGTCATGAAAGTGTACATGAAAGTATTTTTAAAGAATAAATTTCTTTAAGTTATAATACTTTTGTATTCCCCCCCATAAGCTCCTCATTCATTTTTAGAGAATATTATGAATTTCATTTATTCCATTCTACTGTATCCTTAGGATTAGACCAATTTAAATGCTATTTTCAAGTACTTTTGTGTTGTTTCTGGGTATATCATACTACTAACAGAATTTTGCCAGTTTAGAAGCTGATGTCCAGAATAGGTTAGCTGCATCATTCTTGGTTGGGAATAGAAATGCCTGTAGAGGTGTTCCAATTTTTAGGTTTTTTTTCCCCCCCTACTCTCTTCATCTTCACTTGGAAATTAGGTTTTAGAGTGATCTCAATAAGTGGCTATGATTCCCCACCTTGTAATGAATGAGAAAGGAAAATGTCATCCCTAAAATCAAGGCAGGTGGTGCCCTAATTTATTACTGAGTTTTTTAAAATCATTTCGTGAAAAAGTGAAAACTTAGGCCTTTTGAAAGAGAACAAAAGAAGCTAAGATTTAATTCGTGAATAAAATACAAGTTGAGCATCCCTTATTGAAAAATATGAAATCTGAAATGCTCTAAAATCTAAAACTTTGCCAACATACTTGGCTCAACCATTTAAGTCTATGCCAATGTTCTAAAATCCCAAATTTGAAACACTTATGGTTCCATGCATTTCAGACACAGGATGCTTAACCTGTATTAACAGACCTGAAGAGAGGTCCAGAGACCTTTGTGTGTTGTCAACAGGAGATGTAAATCTTAAAAGAGTATTTTCTGTTGTGTTATAGTAACAAGAACAATTACAACTCTTTTTAAAACTTAGGTTCTTTATTCTGTCTGGGCCTCAATTTCTTCATCTGTAAATGATAGTATCGCCTTAATTGCTGATTCTGGAGTTTCAAATTAAGCATGGTCGATAGTAAACTTTACAGATTTATGTATGAATCCTTGTGATTTATTTAGAAGCACGTTTTCTTGAAGAGGGAAGGATCTTTTCTAAAACAGCCTTAATACTGAGCTTGTAAGACCTAATTTTTAAATTCCAACTCAGGTAACTGCGTAATTAAACTTAGCATACAGAAATTATCGCAAACTTAATATTTGCTGTGTTTTTCCACTGTGCCAAAGAACTTCTGCTCTCTATGGTATGGAAAAAGAAAAAGTGAAAGATTAAGAAGATATTACTGTTGCAGACCTTACATCTTTGGGGGCAGTATGAACAAGATAAACCAAACACAATGAACACCTAGGGAACAGATAAAGAATATTATGCATGATAATTTAGAACAGAGAATGTTGTGGACATTCAGAAGTACTCCAAAAGGCTATTATTATTATGGTCTAGAGTAGGTTTTGATGGATTACTACCACCTGTGAGTATGTAAAATAAGATTCCTATAACTGCCATTTCTGATTAATTTGATATACTGTTTTGATGGCATTGGTTCTTATCACTGGCTTGCAGCCCAGTGCAGTGCATGGGTAGTTAAAAATGGCACCCAAAGGGTGGACTAGAATACTCTCTCCAGGCATTAGAGGTAAGTCTAAAAGGTATTCAACTATGTTGAATTAACATGTGTGATCCAATTTCTAGGTTATGTAGAATGGGTGGAATGTACAAGGTTCAATTTTTTAAACAATTTCATCTACAAAGGATTTTGTTTTTTTCCATGGCAATTTAAAATAACTATTTTCTAAGTCATGGGTATGCTCCTCTTAACCCCATATGTAAGATAAATCCTTTCCATTTTGATTACATAGTTCTAAGTTCATGCCAGCAGGTGGCAACAGTGCACACAGCACAAGGTTTCAAATGCTTTATGCTGTAAGGATATAATCCTTTATCTGAAATCCTTGGGGGTTTTGCAATTCATATTTTTTCCTTTTTAAAGATGAAATGTACTTTGTAGATTACAAAAAACTCAATGGCATCTGGGGCAGCACCCCATAATAAAATTATTTCTGCAGTTATAAATTAGACATAGTAATTGGAGTAAACTGCTTTACCTCATTCAGGTCAGTTTTTGTCCAAACTTAGGAGAAAACTAGGTTTTCAGAGTTTTTTCTTTTTTTTTTAATACTGAGAAGGAAATGCTGATCTGTATAAGAAACTGAATAGATGTAGTATTTTCCCTTAATAAAATATTTACCAGTTTTTCTCTTTTTCATTGCTTAGAGATAACTGAAAGGTTTCTTGTAAAATTTGCATATTAGATTTTAAGAAAAAAATGCATGAAATGCTTAGAACACATAAATATGAGTAACATGCTTTCTTTTACTTTCCATCTTGCCTCAGCATTTGTAGCATAAATATCCTACAAAGAAGAGCTATAGTCATTTATTTATTAACAAATTGATTATCCTCCTAGGCAATGAACCTGGGCAGTGGAAACACAGTAGAACATTAGACCCAGCCCTTCCTCTCTGGGCCATAGTTCAGCTGGAGAGAAAAGAGTGTGGTGGAAAGTCAGAATAAGATGGGCCCTTGGGCCTTATTGAGGACAATCATTTGTGCTTTTAAATTAAAAATATTCTATCAAGAACTTTAAAAAGTTCTGGCTCTAGACTGTGGTTTCAGATTTCTCTATTACACCTGTTTTCTGTTCTGGCAAGGGGGAGGTGCCAGCTACTTGAATGCAGATAGATGCATAATGAAAATTAGCAATGAACATCTACCAGATGGAAAGGCTGTCAGTCTTTTGAGGTTAATAATTGGTGTTGGTCCATTCAGTTTTTACCCAGGTATCTTGCAAGAACAAAACATTTTACTGGAATGTAATGTAAAGGTTTGGGATTTTTCCCTTTTTTCCCCCCTGCTGTTTTTCCAAGTACCTAGAAAAGTTTCTAGCACACACTAGGTGTTAATATGCTCGTTGAATGAGTCAGTGATCCTAAGTATCAATTAAGCTCAAGAACTTTGAAAATAAAGAAACCATTGGAGATATGACCTATGATGCATGAAAAAGTGCCTATTTTTTGGTGTGCTTCTGAGCACTTGTCTCTTTTGTTTGATTCTGTGTGGGTCTTGTCTTCTTTTTTCTTGGTACTGCGGGTTGAACTCAGGTGCACTTGACCACTGAGCCACATTCCCAGGCCTATTTTGTATTTTATTTGGAGACAGGGTCCCACTGAGTTGCTTAGTGCCTCGCCTTTGCTGAGGCTGGCTTTGAGCTCACCATCTTCCTGCCTTAGCCTCCCAAGCCGCTGGGATTACAGGTGTGTGCCACTGCCCCCAGCCTCTGAGTCTTTTGTGACTTGCCCCACACACTGATACCTCTAGAATGTCTCAAACTTCCATTTGTGATAATCAAGGGGATTGGAATACAGAGCTTGGTGGTTTGTAATAGCTCAGTGGATAAACATTTCTAACACATGAAATTTGTGAAATTTCTGGTCTACTCCCTGAACACTGAGTGGGTTCAAGGTGACCTACACAGTCCAAAAATCAGTCCACAGTATGTAAAAAAAAATATTTTTATTTGTCAGTGGACATTTATATGCGGTGCTGAGAATCAAACCCAGTGTTTCATACGTGAGAGGCAAGTGCTCTACTACTAAGCTACAACCACAGCCCAGTCCACAGTAATTTTAAATGAAAAATAGAGTAGCATGGAATAGAACATAATAAAGGAATTTTCTTCATCAACCTTGTTTTATAGACCTATGCAGTGAGTGGAAAATATAAAATCAATTTTTATGATTTTTAAAGCTTTAAAGCCTTCCCTGACTTTTGAGAAACTCCCACTGGAAAAGTTTGGGGTTAGTTTGTGCCTCTGTTTTGTTTTCAGATACCACTTACTTTATCCGCATGTTTCAGAGAGTTGTGGACTGTGAGGATACATGCTTTTCATTTTGCCATAATGGCTAGCCAAAGTCAGTGTGTGGACTATATAAACATCCATTTTTCTGGCTGTTTGCCCTCAATTTGAGGTTTTCCCCCATCCCTACAAGAGTTACCATGGGAATAAGAGCAATTATTGGAGTGTTTTCTGTGTGTCAACCAGTGAGATATTAGTATTATCCCTGATTTAAAGATCAATCTATGCCTGGAGTCACACAAATTGTAAATGGCACAGCTATTATCTACATTTAGGTTTTGCCTCTAAGCCCATATGTGCTCATGAACCTCCTCTTATTGATCGAACAAAAGTTTAGTAGGCATGTGCCAAAACAAAAAAATCCATTGGAAATATGATCTATGATGCACAAATGAGCTTGCAGCAAAATCTTGGAAGCTAGAAAGCAGATGGATAAATGGAAATGGCTCTAAGGGAGCTAGTTAATAGCCATACTTGCCCTGCCTACTCCACCTGGTGTTCCATAGTTTAGTGTCCCGAAAGAAACAACTTACTATCTGTAAGGTCAGGGCTCAGGAAGCTTTCTGAAAAGGACCAGAGTCAATCAGTATTTTAGACTTTGAGACCAAGGGCAACTGAAGGATATCAAGTAGTTACACAAAGAAAGAATAATTGAGTGCAATTTTTTTTTAATACAGGACTAATGAGATGGATGGAATGCCTGTGGGTGTCCATTTTGATTAATTGGGGCTCAAAGCTAATAAGTGGTTAGCCATCATCAAAATTGAGTGCAAATATTTATGTTAGGTTTTCTATATTTCTACCTTGAAAATGACTTCAAGCCTGGTACAGTGGTGCTTATGATCCCAGTAGTTCTGGAGGCTTTGCAAGTTCAAAGCTAGTCTCAGAAACTTAGACCCTGTCTCAAAATAAATAAAATGGGCTGGATATGTAGCTCAGTAGTAGAGTGCCCCAGTACACAAATACACAATCATCACATAAGTAAATACAACTGAAAACGTATCAAGCCTTGTGCATTTGATTTTAATCAAGCATATCTGTCTCTTTTAAGGCATTTATTTGTACAATTCTATTAGATTCTTCTATTGCCGTTTGCCTTTCAGCATGTCGTGTTGCAGATTTACCACTTCAAATTGAGAGATGAAAATCTCAGTTGCATAATAACTTGATTTTTAAATATGAAAATTCCTTTACACATGCACTGAGCTCTAAAACACAATGTTAAAGATGTAACCGAGGCTGGAAAATTTGCTGCCAATGTGTGCAGAAATGATGTTACTCATTGCTTTTAACTTTCAACATGAGAAGTGTATACACAATTTGATGTAACTTGTGATTGAAGACATATGGATTGGAAATTGCTTTATTGCACTATATTTTAATGTACTGTTTTGCTTTGCAATTTTAGATTCAGTTCATTAAGAAACATTACACCAAAGCTGATTTCCAAAGCTATTTAGTGTTCACTACTAGTGTTTGAAGGTGTGTGTGTGTGTGTGTGTGTGTGTGTGTGTGTTTTCCCCACACTAAGAAAAAATTTCAGTTTTGGCCCTAAGCTCAAATCATTGCAATGAATTAACTACTCTAAGCCCATGGAACTGACAGATGACGTCTCATAGACTCTCATAGAGTGAATAAAGTTCACTGTTGACACTACTGATTCAATAGAATATGATAAATTCAGGTACATCAGTTTCTGCTGATGTATAGTACCACTAACAACCTTAGGATTTAAACATACATTTCAACTAGGACTTCTACTCCATACACATTAGTTACACCCATCTTAGCAGATTCTATTTTCAGGTTTTACTAAATTCTTTAAAAATGTTCTTGCTTGTAATTATACCTATAGGCCTATTACTAGAAGCTAATTCTTTCGGCTGGTAGTATAGCTCAGTAGTAGAGCACTTGTCTAATATATGCAAGGCCTTGGGTTGGACCCCAACTCCCCAAGAAAGTGGTATGGGTAGAGACTAAGTCTTTACTTCAAATTTGGCTTTGAGTCCTTGGAAAGACAAGCAGGACTGATAAAGAATTTGACTCATCAAAACTGAAGAAAAAAGTCAAAAGCATCTGCTGTATTAAATTTTTTTAAAAACACTTAAATAAGCTTGCCAAAGATCAATAATCTTAAACTTATTTTCTCTGGTTATATTTCTTCTGCTCACAAAAATGAAAAACTCCTCATTGGAGTTTTTCATTTTTGTGAGAGAATTCTGCTGGAATCGGATATTCTGTTTTAAGTTTTCTAACATTTCTGACCATTGCTTTCCTTTGAGTTAAAAATATTGTGACAAGTTCTCAGTCTGGTAATATCAGTGGATATTGTGTTCTTTAAGGATCTCTAGTGTTAGTGCACAATAAACACAATGTCATGTGATTCAATAATATAATCCATTCTCCACTGTGCTTTTAACAGGTGACAAAGAACACCTTAATTGTTTTCACTGGTAAAGGGAATAATGCAATGCTGCAGTGAAACAATATGCATCTCTTTTGAAACACTGTCACTGCAATTTGTATTGCTTTGAGCAACAGTGCAAAGCTATAGGAGCTCTGGGTACTACTGTGTAACAATTGCACCTTGTCCTTGGTAGTACAAAAACAGCTGTAGAGAGTATATATGAAAAAATGTGGCTGCATCCCCAGTCCAACTTAATGGACATTGCAATTTGAATTTTGTGTGTTACGTTTCTCCAACTATTTAAAAACATACAAACCATACTTAGGTTATGTATCATGCAAAAACAGGCAGTAGGTAAGGCTTGACCTGCAGGCTGTAGTTTGCCAATCCTGGCTTAATGTGCTTACCTTGCTCTCTATATTAATGAAAAAATTAATGTAATTTAAAAAATTTATATATATATATACACACACAAAAAAATGTATACATTTACACACATATACATAGATATTTAGTTGTTGATGGATCTTTATTTTGTTCACTTATATGTGATGCTGAGAATTGAACCCAGAACCTTCCTCACACATGCTAGGCAAGAGCTCTATCACTGAGCCATAACCCAGTCCAAATTAATGCAATTTTAAAGCAACTGAAAAAGACTTTCACTGATTCTGTCATCTCTTCTACCCACTTATGAGGATTTGGTTGGTTGCATTAGCACATAAACTGTTGTTTATTTTAAAAAACCATCTTTAACCTCCACATCCCTCCACCCCATTTCTCTGCTTCCATTTGTAGTAGAATTCCTCAAAAGAGGTGTCTGTCCTCAGAGTTTCTTAACTCCGGTTGTCTCTTAAACTTTAAAGTCTTTACCAACATTCCACTGACTATTACCATTGTCACCCAAAGCTTCTGTGTTGTGAACTCTAGTGGGTAACAGTCATCATATTCCTTAACATTTAAAACTGTAGATCACTTCTTTTTGTTTTGTTTTCAATGTTGGGGATTAAGCCCAGGGCCTTGAGAATGCTAAACGTAGACTCCTGAGCTATATCCACAACCCACTTCTGTTTTGAACTTTTTTTTTTTTTTATTGGTGGGGTACTGGGGATTGAACTCGGGGGCACTGGATCACAGAACTACATCCCCAGCCCTATTTTGTATTTTATTTAGAGACAGGGTCTCACTGAGTTGCTTAGCGCCTCACCATTGCTGATGCTGGCTTTGAACTCAGGAACCTCTTGCCTCAGCCTCCAGAGCTGTTGGGATTACAGGCATGTGCCACCACGCCTGGTGAAACACTTTTTTTAAAAAATGTTTTTTATTTGTAGGTGAACACAATTCCTTTATTTTATTTATATGTGGTGCTGATGATTGAATCCAGTGCCTCATATATGCTAGGCAAGCACTCTACCACTGAGCTATAGCCCCAGAACCTTGAAACACTTTTTATAACTCAACTTTCAAAACCAGTCACTGTGATCCCAGTGACTTGGAGGCTGAGGCAGGATGATCTCAAATTCAAAGTCAGCCTCAGCAATTTAGACTTTATCCGAAAAATAAAATGGGCTGGGAATGTGGCTCAGTGGTTGAATGCCCTTGAGTTCAATCCCTAGTACCAAACAAAAAAACATTTCCAGTATTCTACATTCTGATTTTTTCTCCTTCATATGCCGCTTAGCAATATTCTTTGCTGACACCATCCTTAGCCACACAGGTGTC